GCAGTTCATACATATGTTTCACATGTTTGTTGTTGTTTGATTTATCATCTACGGGTTTATGTCGAATTAATTTGATGGCCTGCTCCCAGTTGGCTTGTTAGCTCAATTGGTAGAGCGCTGCACTAGTATCGCAGAGGTCAGTGGTTCGAGTCCCGTACAGGCCTGAAATTTTTTTCAGGTCTGATTTTCACTATTGCTCAAATAGTGCTTTACTGCGAAGGATCGTTCTCATATACGTCTCATAACCGCAGTTCACACATATGTTTCATATGTTTGTTGTTGTTTGATTTATCATCTACGGGTTTATATCGAATTAATTTGATGGCCTGCTCCCAGTTGGCTTGTTAGCTCAATTGGTAGAGCGCTGCACTAGTATCGCAGAGGTCAGTGGTTCGAGTCCCGTACAGGCCTGAAATTTTTTTCAGGTCTGATTTTCACTATTGCTCAAATAGTGCTTTACTGCGAAGGATCGTGCACATATACGTTTCATAACCGCAGTTCATACATATGTTTCATATGTTTGTTGTTGTTTGATTTATCATCTACGGGTTCATGTCGAATTAATTTGATGGCCTGCTCCCAGTTGGCTTGTTAGCTCAATTGGTAGAGCGCTGCACTAGTATCGCAGAGGTCAGTGGTTCGAGTCCCGTACAGGCCTGAAATTTTTTTCAGGTCTGATTTTCACTATTGCTCAAATAGTGCTTTACTGCGAAGGATCGTGCACATATACGTTTCATAACCGCAGTTCATACATATGTTTCATATGTTTGTTGTTGTTTGATTTATCATCGACGGGTTCATGTCGAATTAATTTGATGGCCTGCTCCCAGTTGGCTTGTTAGCTCAACTGGTAGAGCGCTGCACTAGTATCGCAGAGGTCAGTGGTTCGAGTCCCGTACAGGCCTGAAATTTTTTTCAGGTCTGATTTTCACTATTGCTCAAATAGCGCTTTACTGCGAAGGATCGTGCACATATACGTTTCATAACCGCAGTTCATACATATGTTTCATATGTTTGTTGTTGTTTAACAAGTATCAATAATTGGAATCACGAGAACCTAAAAGTGAAAAAGTCATTTGCTCTCTTTGCCCTTTTTGTTGTTGTAGAGGGTTTAGTGTTTCCTGAGCTTAACTGTTATGGGATATGTTGATAACTAGCGATTGAAAAGATTATTCTTAAAGCTCTTTGTATAGATTCAGTGGCGTCAGAAAGGTATACAGGAATATCTTGCCACACTTACGCAACATACTTTGAGATCGATCTAACATATGTGTATACCTAGAGCATGTCTTCTGACGTGACTCTTGCGCACTACAACACAGGCTTACCATCTTAAATATCCGTGATTTCGGGTTTCTAATGGGTCCTGTGGCATTTACATGGCCGTTATAAATGTAGTTCAAATATATTACCTCTAGAATGTTTCGCTAGTAGTCAGTCTTCAAAAACAATCAGCTCCGAATAAAGCTTAATAGTTCATTACTTGTTTGGAAGTGTTTTTATTATAATAATAATAATAATAATAATAAAATATTTATATAGCGCCTATCCTTTTTCAGTGCTAAGCGCTTTTTTCTTCCAGAAACCCTCAAAATCGCCCGTTTGGGGCTTTCAAAGTTCGGCGGTTGATTCGGCTCGCTCTCCATAGTTTAAAATTGCGACAAGGCAGGCAGCTTAGGAATCCAGATCGCACACCACCTCTTACTCGAGACAAAAATGTTTTACCTTTTAGGTCTTTTTTTCCCACCGAAATTCAACCGGCCACAGAAGGATTATTCGGCTGTTACGGTGACTCAGTTTTGAATCACAGGTGTAGTAGGTGTAGTAGCTATAGTAGGTGGAGTATGTGTAGTAGCTGTAGTAGGTATAGTGGCTCTAGTGGGTGTAGTAGGTGTAGCAGCTGTAGTAGGTGTAGTAGGTGTAGTAGGTGTAGTTGGTGGAGTATTTAGAGTAAGGTAAAGGTCTCTATTTCTCTAAACAACATACGTGTTTAGTTACAATTTTAAGGTTGAAATCAGACAGGCGCCTCTGGCAGCCGTGTTTAGTCCGTAGCGATTTCACCTACCCACCCAAC